CCCCCAACATCATCAACAAACACCCCTTTATCATGTCAATACAAGACTCGGTGGATTTCCATGTCGTTAGCATCATGTCACACGTTTAAATAGCTCGTGTGTGAACGCTTTGCCACCAGATGACGAAGCTAGCAATGATGAATTAATGGCTCAGATAACTTCATTATCCTGCTGGGCTTTGCACTTATGCCTGCAACCCAAGTTTCCACGTCCCCAACATATGATAGGAGAGGAGAGCAGAGGCACGCTGTGTTTGGAGGAGACTCGAGTTACTGTTGTGGGCTCTGGCCTGCTGGATGCCAGTTGGAACAGAGAGAGCAGCAAAATGTTTCAGGGCAGTTTAAATGGTTTATATGGACCTCTAGTAGAATGTTGAATGTTAACGGAACTGGCAGATCTTGAGCAAATAGCTTTTTTTTTAAATTGTTGTGGTTTTTTAATGCAACCAGCAGAGGCATTTTTTAAATGAGGTGGCAAAAGAGCCTGAGAACAAGACAGGGGAGGCCCACTGAAATTCATCCATTCACTTCCGCTGGAGCCTATCCCAGCTGTCTTAGGGAAAGAGACAGGGTACACCTTGGACAGATCACAGCAGGAGGAAATAAAAACAGGAAACTGAGGCTACAATTTGCCAGCAATCGCTAAAAATGGATAAGAGAAGAGTGGAAAAAGTTGCCTGGTCTGATGAGTCTTGATTTCTCCTGAGCTGTATCCAAGGTTCAGAGTGATGGTGGTGGTGTAATGGTCTGGGGGTTATTTTCTTGGCATGCTTTGGGCTGCTTAGTACCAACTGCATCTATGTCATGAAGGATTAAGGCAGTTCTGAAGGTAAAGGAGGGTTTAATAGAGTATCAGTCCTGAGTAACTAATAAGGATCAGATGTTCCATCCAAAATACAATGGATTGCAAACACCAATCTGGCATGCCCTTGCAAATAAATATACCAAGGTTTGCACAACTGCAAGAGTAGAACTGAGTCATTTATTTTGTTGGTCAGCTGTGTACAATATATAAAGAGAATTTCAGCTTCCTTAAAGCCGAGGTTAGCCTTTGGACACAAAATAAATACATCTAAACTTCATGTCAATATAAAATATGTACAAATCTTTTGCGCTTCCTGTACAAATGAAGTACTTACAAACAGAAGTCAGAATGGTTTAGTATAGCAAAAATAGTTCACAGATGATCAGAATAGATCATATTGAAAATGTCAGATAGTTTGCTAATGTTTCAGTTTTCTGAGACGTCCTCACTGACTGCTGTCGTTGGTGATGCTGTCCACGATGGAGGACAGCCGCAGGAGGCTGGAGGACGCGGAAGACTCACTGGCTCCTAAAATGAAAGGACTTATGATACCACATGATGTTTTCTCTTTTTCTCTTTTTTTAATGAATTTACACCTGACTTCAAGCAAAGGTAGTGTGCAAGGTGTGTACCTTCTCTGCGGTTCATTGCTGAAGTGGAATGGTCAGCAGAGGTTGGCCAAGCCTCAGAGGATTTCTTCCAGTGGTACTCACCGGCCACCTGTAAAAAACACACATTATCCATATTCTTTTCCACATAGCCTCATTTATCCTGTTTTCTTTCCCTCACCACGAACCAGTCACGGCAGATGAGCCAGGTTCCTTCCTCATGAAAGGGAGTTTTTCCTTTCCACAGTCACCAAGTGCATTTCCATAGGAGTTTGTTTGATTCTCTGTATTATTGTAGGGTCTTTACCTTATAATACAATATAAAGCACCTTTAGGTGACTGTTGTGATTTGGGGCTACATAAATAAGAGCGAATTGATTAAATATTATTGCCTGTAATATGAAGAAAAAACTTTTAAATTATTGCAGAAACAGGCTGCTATTACTGAGAAGCATTCAACATTCAATAAGAAAGTAATTAAAAGTATTCAAAGACCACGACGTGAGAAATTTGTAATTATATTATTAGTCAAAACCACACTGCTAGATTAAAAAAATCAGTGTGGCACAGAGTAATAAGCATTCACGTTATAATGTCATTAATGAGCACCACAAACACATTAAAAGTCCAAACTGGGATATTCTTGATCGGTTGGGGAATAACCTGAAATCCACAGATGCACAGATTTACACATTCATGTGAATAGTATGAGGAGTTTCCTCTTCAGGTTGGTATACTCGCTCACATTGTTTTCTTTTGCGTCACATGGAGATCCGGTTTTCTCCTGCTCGTCCAGCGTCTGCAGCAGCTCCTGCAGCCTCTCTATGTAGCTGATGGCGCTGCGTAAAATCTCCACTTTGGGTAGCCTCTGGTTGGGATTGGCTACGGTCTTCCTCTTCAGTGCGTCGAAGGCTTCGTTGATCTTCTTAAGCCTCCTCCTCTCCCTGAGGGTCGCAGCCTTACGTCTATCCGTGGGAGCCGTCTTTCTCTTGCAGATCTTACAGGCCCACATGAGGCACTGACCCTCGCAGTGCGCCCGGAGACCCGGAGGCGCGGGGACGTGCTCCTCTCCGCTGCTCTCCCCACCGGACGGGACATTATCGTGACCCGCTTGGGACAGTGGGCTGTCATTGCCATTGTACAGAGGGGAAACCCCTGCCATATCCAAGTGCTGTAGTGGTCCATGATCTGCTTCCTCCAGATAGCGCAAATCATTAAAAAGATAACTGTTGGTCTCGAAAAGGTCCATCATATTGCTGCGCTCCTCACTCTGTATTCACACTGGTCTCTGGCATTTAAATAGAGCAGCAAGGACACAAGTCAACAGATTATATATAGAATGTGAAACTCTATCCAATACTTTGGCTGCCACACTGCAACAACCATCTTCTTTTTTTTTTTTTTCAATCGGTCTTCACAACATACCGACTCTGTACAGACAGAAATGTCCCCTCAGGTTTCATAACAGGTGCATGTGCGTTATGATATTTCACAATGAAAAAGTAAACGTTACAGGATAGAGATATTTTATCCATACATCACAGGGGGCTCTAATTTGTAGCAAAACACTTCATTAATAGTTATTAATGACTCATTAGTGTGTTTTTATGTAACTGGACAAAAGCTCTGTGTTGCCAGGTTGGGTTGTAAAAAGTGTCTTTAACTGCTATGTCTGCAGCATAGTTTTAATTGTACGAATGAATGATTGAAAATGATCCTTTCCAAATAGGATTACATGGCAATCAAGGTTAGGAATCCTTGCTGTAAAAATCTGATTCTTAAACCTAAAGAAAGAGAGTGTGGAGAGTTTCCATAATCTTCATTTTCCACCCTTCTTAACCACTGAGAGGGTCACAAAGTGCTGGAGGCGTCAGGCGTCAACCATGGGGCATCTTCAAACGAAATTCATTCAATTCTCAGTCTCTTTAACTGATAAGCCTTCGTAATGATCAATACCAGCTGACATGAAGAATTATTCTCACTCTTAAACTGCCAATGAAGTCGCTAGTTAAATTTTGTTCTATGAATTTGACGACATCACAAAAAAGAAAGGGCTTTAAGTTGATTAAGAAGCCTTCACTGAGCAAGAGGCATTGAACACTGCCAACCGTACAGCCCATCAAAGAGACACAGACATCCACACACACTCGAATCCACACGTAAAGACAATTGAGTGACAACTTAAAATGGCATGGCAACAGTTTTGGTCTGTGAGAGGAAACCTGTGTAGACAAAAGTAGAATATGCAAACTTCTGAAAAAAAAAGGCCTCAGGCAAGTTTGAACCTACAACTGTTCTTACTGTGGCGGCAGTTAATAAACAAATTTAAGGCTATTTCAGATGCCCTGGAGCTCTTTTTTTTTTTGGAAACACCACATGAAGGAAGGAAGCTAATAAACTTCTAAACCCAAAAAAGAGAAAATCAGGTTGCATGATGGGTTGTGTATAATTCGACCAAATTGAATATTTTGCAATCTGGAAACCCAGTTGTGGTTCTTATTTATGACATGTTATTCTGTTTACTTTAAGCATCCATGACAAAAGCCAGATTTGATCAGCAAATCAGAAAACAACAATAGATATCAAAATAGATTATTTCAAATAAACCATATCGCTGCTGTTTTAACTCTAGTTTGTTGTGCTCATTTTAGACAGTATGGACAACTGTAAGTTGTATGCGGTCTCAACATAAATAGACGGGAATGTGCACAGTCAAAAGAGCTTTGAGAAATGTCTCAACTCGATGATATAAATAGAAACGTGGCTCAGTCATTTCAGATTCATAAAAGAGATAAAAGCCTGTGAAGAGGTGATATATTGCCTGTTGGCATTTTTCCTCCAAACTCAAAGGGCTGTGATTGGAAACTTCACAGGCAGGAATGTGAGGGATTCCTATTTTTGAGTGACTGCATGACCTTGTCTTTTGAAATGAAATAAGATGATCTCATTAGGCTGCGGCAGCCTTTGAGACACAAAAACAAACACATCTTTCGACATGCATCCAGATAACTGTCGGCTTCTTTGCGGAGCAGAGAGACACATAAAGAGCAGGGGTGTTGTTTTTTTTTTTAATGAATGAATGAATGAATCAAATTTAAGAGCAGAAGAGGCACTGGGACCTTGGTGGTGTGTACTAAAGCATGCTGCACAGCCAGCTCACGTGTGGGGGTTTTATATGACCCTGCATGTGGAAGTCCCTTCCCTTCAGCTCCCAGCTTCTGTCATGTTGTTTTTAAAGAGTCACCAGTGCCTTTCATCATTTGACAGGATGTCTGAAATACTGCCACAAGTCAACACAACATCTCTAAGTCACCTTCTACACATATACTTGAACATATCGGCTCAGTTATTCCAAAAGTTGTAATTGTCAGTTTCTAAGTTCTCGCTTCAGTATATGAGTAGCTCTCAGAACTCCACAGTATCTCTAAATCCTTAAATAATTGGCCCAACAACACATATAATTAAACCCCAATAAAGACACTATTAAAGTCAATTTGAGAGCTATACTGCACTGCAGTGTTCATTTGTATAGTTTACAAACCAATAAATATATGCAAACTGAAAAAAATCAATAATATTGGCTTTGAACTGAAATGATTTCTGTGATAAACAGCAGAGTAATCATAGGTTCTATAGCAATCCTTTGTATCTGGAGGAAATGTTTTAAATCTGCATTTTCTTCTAATGGCCAGCAGGGGGCAATACCTCTGGTTGTCTCTTTCCATAGACATGTATGAAAAAATGCTGCAAACCCATAGATCTATCTGGGTGCCCATGCTGAGCCCTGTCCACTGCTGAAACAACGGACACATGAGCATCAGAAATGGACCATGGAGCAATGAAAAAAGGTGGCCTGACTCAATGGAGCACGTTTTCTTTAACTTCACATGGATGGCAGGGTGCATCTCCGTTACTTACCTGGGAAACACCTGGCACTAGGATGCACTATGGTAGGAAGGCAAGCCAGCAGAGGAAGGGTGATGCTTTGAGCAATGTTCTGATTAGAAACCTTGGGTCCTGCCATCCATGTGGATGTTACTTTGACACATTCCACCTACCCAAGCATTGTTGTAGACCATGTACACCCTGAAAACCGTATTCCCTGATCGGTGTGGCCTCTACTAGCAGGATAATGCACCTGCACATAGCAGAAATGGCTCAGGCATGTTTAAGGAGCACAACAATGAGTCTGAGCTGTTGACCTGGCTTCCAAATTCTCCAGATCTCAGTTCACTTGAAAATCTGTGCTGGGCAAACAATCCCAATCCACAGCGGCCCACCGTGTAACTAACAGGACTTAAAGGATCTGTTGCTAACATGTTGGTGCCAGATACCACAGCACACCTTTAGGTGTCTACTAGAGTTAATGGCTCAATGGTTCATGGCATTGTTGTCAGCTAAGGGCAGACAATCACAATATTAGGCGGGTGGTCATACTGTTATGCCTGAGCTGTAGGCGGTTGTGTGTCCTCCAAGAGTGGGCGTGGCTTAAGGAGGAGTCAGGCAGGGACACCTTTTTGCCTCCACATGAGCCCAGCCCTCCTACTTATTCCCAGATTGTTCTCCTACTCACCGGCTGCTAATACCTTTCCCTTACTTACCTGCTTTTCTGTTCCACATGCTCCTCATACTTACTCTCTGACTTTTCCAGACCTGTGAATCTGCCTGACCCACTCTTACTGAGCCACTTGCTCAGCACCTTAAGAAGACTTGGGAACTCCCCTGTCTTTACTGACCTAAATGTAACCCAAACCTTACATGACCAATATCTGAACGTTAACTGTTGTTGCACCTTCTTGTGTCCTGTCTTTGAGTCACTCAGGTTTAACCTTCACACATTTGTTTTTTAAATTACTGCCAGACAATCTAAGTGTTTCACAGTTTAAATGACAAGATACATTAAAGAAATATCTATAACATACCAACACACATTCAAACATGCTTTCACAAAGCCGCATGCCAAATATTTGTATGAGCATGACATTTGATGGCATAAATAAAATTTTGACGTTAATCACTGGAATTTTGTTTTTTTGTAGTCACAGGGAGAAAACAGCTCGTATCCATAAAGCCTCGTTAGAAAAGCTAAACACAATCCAGTAAAATGCTTAAATTATGCAGCTGTGTTAAAATAGAAGCTGTGTGTGTTGCTTTACATGCAATATTGCAAATGCATGGGATTTCTTTTGTGCTTTTACTTTAAAGGCGAAGTCACTTGTCAGAAACAATATAGCTTTCATTATTAGTTTTTCAAACAGCAGAGGTGACACATACGATATAGAATAGAAAGTGTGTGTGTGTGTGTGTGTGTGTGTGTGTGTGTGTGTGTGTGTGTGTGTGTGTGTGTGTGTGTGTGCGAGGTAGGTATTTGGTGTCTGGATATGTTTTGTCAGCCACGGTAAATTTTTGTGTCTCTGTCACTGCTGCTTTGTCATTTTCACGCAAACACAAAGTCGTGATGAAAAAGAAAAATGATGAATAGTGATAAATGAATGACGATTATAAATAAATTGTCTCATGAACAGAATATAAATTAAAATTAGACTCATTTCAGACTTTAATTTGCCTCGATTATTGCATCGCAATGAAAAGTACTCATCCTCCAGGTGAACGGAGTCGCGTCCCTGCTGTGCCCTGATCGTGTATTCTCCCCCCAGGGGTTGGCCTACTGCGCATCCTGAACCTGACCGTAAATTCCCATCAGTGTTGAGGGGTTGACGCTTCAGCTGTCAGGGAGAATCATGGGATGGGGTGGGGGGGAGGGGGGGCAGAAACTTACACTAGAAGATCAGGCCTCTAAGGGAAGACGATGCAGTCAGGATGGGTTGCACGAAGCGTAAATCTGCCTGGAATCCAAAGAGGCTCAGAGGCGTCAGCTCTGCTGTCTGAACACGTAGCAGGCAAAATCTGTGTGTAAAGACACAATGGGTGTGTTTAAAATGTCTGTATGACATATTGCTTCTTGAGATTGTCTTTCAGTGGTAAATAAAAAGGTCATTGTACAGCAGCTCAGCAGTGAGACATTCCTGTTTGAAGGTACACTTTGATGTTCTTGGGGAATCCATATACTTTCTCCTTTAGCTCAATTTTAAAATTAAAACCACTCATGTCTGTCCACTTAATACAAAGCTACAGGCCAAAGACTGTTAGCTCATCACAGCAGAAAGAGTGAATCAGTGGCACATGGGAGAAGTTTGCCTGCAGAGCTTTCTGGCAGAAAGCTCTCGTTCCTTTTGTTATTTTCAGATTTCAGTGGCAGTTTAGTCAGGTTAACAAAGTCTTAGAGA